CCTAAGCCTAAGCCTAAGCCTAAGCCTAAGCCTAAGCCCCTAACCCTGAGCCTAAGCCGGTAACCCTAAGCCTAAGCCCCTAACCCTATGCCTAAGCCTAAGCCTAAGCCTAAGCCCCTAACCCTAAGCCTAAGTCCTTAAGCCTAAGCCTAAGCCCCTAACCCTAAGCCTAAGCCCCTAACCCTAAGCCTAAGCCTGGGCCTAAGCCTAAGCCTAAGCCCCTAACCCTAAGCCTAAGCCAAAGTCTAAGCCCCTAACCCTAAGCCTAAGCCAAAGTCTAAGCCTAAGCCCGTAACATTAAGCGTAAACCCCTAAGCCTAAGCCTAAGCCGAAGTCTAAGCCCCTAACCCTAAGCCTGAGCCTAAGCCTAAGCCTAAGCTTAAGCCTAAGCCTAAAAAAGATCGGAGTACACTTGAAAAGATGCACAGAATATGCAAAACTGCACTTCAAAAAAATCAAGTTTTTCTGCTTCCCAAGCAAAAATTGTTGGTGAAAACGACAGATACCTAGAGCAGGAAGTTTTTCCCCACAGCTTTTTTGCTAAATTTTGCCGTTAGCCATAAATTCCAGATGCCAGTTGCAAGTTTCATGCCAGAATATAATGACTAACGACTTGCTTAATTTAAGATAGCTTTTTTATTTTAGCCAGAAAGGGTACTTCTCAAATTCCAGTCTCTCTTGCCGCGCGCAACAATGTTCCACTAGGTCTTCTTTAATCAATTTGTCTTCCAACCTTCCAGTAGAAATATAAAAATAACTTGAAATATACTGTCTTAAATACTGTTTATTATCCGTAATCTTTAAGCAGTCCTTCATATACACTTCCCCAGTCAGGGAAACTCAAAAGTGCAAGTGAATTCATCATCATCATACGCAGTATCCTGGAGTTTCAAGAGAGAAAGCAAGAGGTGTTTGTTAACGGTCTGAGAAAAGAGAAAATCACGCTCCGTATCAATAGTGTATTTTTTCATCCCCCACTTCCTGCACGATGATAGCAATTAATTAATAAACTTCAGAGGAGAGCTTTGTAAAGATCTTTCTGACGATACGCCACAAATACATCAATGCCACCTAACAGTTCTGTCACACAGGTGACGTTATCAACAAAAATGCAGCCGTATACAACACAGAAAAGATAGTCCTGGCAGGCAGTTGCCCGACAGGTCATCTCGCCTCTCACTTCTGATTCACACACTAAGCTTTCTAGAGTACGATTCTCCTCCAGTCTACTAGGTCTCACAGTGAAAAGAATATCTACAGCTGGCATGAAGCCAATATTACTGAGAATTTGAGATTGCCTTACAGGCTTACGAAATCAGATAAAAACCCTGCAACCTTCCGACACTTCATATTACCTAGGTACACGAGAGTCTTTTATTCAATGCTTATCATCTTTCTGGTTTCAGAGTTATTTAACATGTTGTTCGTTTACATTGATATGTACATTTTGGTTTTTATGCGGAAACTTATTTTTTAAATCAGATTTTAACGCAGCTATCTGATCCTGTACAATGCTAAATTTCTTAATTTATCAAAATTTTTAACAATCGCATGTTGCTGTTGTTACTGCCCGAATAAAATTATAAATCGTATTTTGCTATTTGGTGGTATCATGAGATTTCATGTTTTAGCTCACCCCAAGAGCATCACAACTTAAGCAGTTGTGTGGTGATTCACGGAAGCAACGGACTTGTTTTTTTTCGAAAACCACTGAAATTGCTCAAATTTTGACTTTAGATGGGGAA